GCTAGCTTATGCCCGAAATAACAACACACAAACTGTATTCATTTAAGAACTGCTTGGCCCATGAACTCTAGCTTCTTATTGGCTAGCTCTTACATATTGTTCTAACCCATTTCTAAGAATGTGTGTAAGCACCCCAAGGTGCACTTACCGGGAAGATTCTAGCCTAAGTCCATCGTGGGTTGGAGCTGCCTGGGAGAGCTGAGGATGGCCTCTTTTTTTTTTTAAGATTTATTTATTCATTATGTACACAGTGTTCTGCAGGCAAGAAGAGGGCACCAAATCTTACTACAGATGGTTGTGAGCCACCATGTGGTTGCTGGGAATTGAACTCAGGACCTCTGGAACAGTAGGCAGTGCTCTTAACTGTTGAGCCATCTCTCCAGCCCCCAGAACTCTTTGTTAAAGACTTGAGAGGGTGAAAGATAGGAGAGGTAAGGTTATTGCATTATCATTATTGTCTGTATTATCTGCTTTGTCAAGCTGCTGCGAAGTTATACAGACTGCTGACTGCATTACAGCATCTGACTGAAAGGGAGTGGGGATGGAAGCCCAGATTCCAGCCTGTGCACCCCTCAGCAAGTTGTGCATCCTCATTTAGGGGTGCAAATGCAAGTGATAGGCCTGTTGTTTGTTTTCCCCCTTGGTACTGGGGTGCTGTGGGAATGAGCATCATCAGGCATAAGGAGCACATCTTTAGGTTTGGGGATTCATCTGTCCGTTTGCTGGAGAGAACAATTCAGCAGACTCTATGTAGGTGTCAGAGCAGGAGTTGGCTGGAGGGGTTTTCGTTTGTTTTTTGAGACAGGGTTTCTCTGTGTAACAGTCCTGGCTGTTCTAGAACTCACTTTGCAGACCAGGCTGGCCTTGAACTCACTGAGATCTGCCTGCCTCTGCCTCCCAAGTGCTGGGATTAAAGGCATGCATCACCACCGCCTGGCCATGGCTGGAGGTTTTAAGGCTTTAATACTTCTCTTTTCTGGGTTTTCTCTCCCCAAAGCTTCCAGAAAAGATGAAGACAAAGAAGCACTGAAGCAGTTGGCAGGCTGGATGTCCTAAGAGTCTGTCTTCTGTTGCTGTCCCTAAGTGCAAACTCTGAGAGCTAAGGGAGCATAGCTTTGGAATTCCCTGCTGCAGAGGAAGGGTGGCTGTCTGAGAAGGGCCCATTGTTCTCCCTTCTTTGGCTGAACTTTGAAGAAGGATCTTGATGCAGGAAGAACCCCTGAACTCCCTTCTTTTTGGTTAGACTGATTTTTGTCTCCAGCAAAACTGGATAGGTGGATACCTAGTGTCTGTATGTCTTGTCTACTCTTGAGGTTCTTCCTCCTGGTTCTCCGAGCCTTGTTTTAAAGTAGTAAAACATAATAAGGAATGAAGGGGAGCTGGGGAAACAAATGGCCATTTCCAGTATTTCAGACTATGTTCCGGGCAATTTTATCTTTCAATTTGTTTATCATGGAGTTGCCTAAGGTTATGAAATTGCCATCAACACCAGGCATGGGGCCCATGCTTTTAACCTCAGCACCCAAGGAGGCAATGGCAGACAGATCTCTCTGAGTTCAGACCAGCCAGGGCTGCACAGCCAGGGTATGCCCTGTGTATCAATCAATCGATAAGTGGGAATGCCGGGCGATGGTGGCACACGCCTTTAATCCCAGCACTCGGGAGGCAGAGGCAGGCGGATCTCTGTGAGTTCGAGACCAGCCTGGTCTACAGAGCTAGTTCCAGTACAGGCTCCAAAAGCCACAGAGAAACCCTGTCTCGAAAAACCAAAAAAAAAAAAAAAAAAAAAAAAAAAAAAAAAAAAAAAAAAGTGGGAAGAGGGGGAAATTATCTTAGAAACATGTTGATAGCCAGACACGATGGGACAAGCCTGTAATCCACAGCACTAGGCTGTGGCTAGTCTGAGCTACAGAGGGAGTTCTAGGATACTTGAAGGAGGAAAGAAGGGGAGGAGGGGAGAGAAGAAGAAAGGAAATGAGATTATGAAGAGCCAATCTGAGTCTTTCCCGTTGCCTTGGCTCAGTCATGCATCTAACAAGATAGCCTCCCTGTCTTCTGCAGGGGCGAGTGGCTTTCCTTCGTCCAGAACTCACAGTCCACAAGGCTTGGTTTGACCTCTGTGACTTCAGTGTCTAGGACCCCTGGGTCCCTGGCCTTCTCTCTGTACTTGATAAAGTGATCCCAGAGGAAGAGGGCGCTGAGACACTAAGTAAGCCCTGATGTTTTTCTGTGGCACGTCAGCAGGCAGCACGTGCATCTAGAAATAGGCCTGTCCTTTCCTTGTTAGCTTCTCTGCAATTGAAACTTTCACCCAAGTTGGGAGCAAACACAAACCCGAAAGAACAGAGCTATAGCTTTTGGTTGTAAACGGGCAGAGCCAGAGTCAAACAGAGCAATAAAGCCTTTTCCCTCCTTGTCCCACCTGCTGCTGGAACATTAGAGGACAAAAATGTGAAATTAGAGCCAGAAGCTTTGCTGACATCTCAAAGTTTCCCCAAGTCAGTTCCATTCGCTTTCCATGTGTCAAGGGCACGGGTTCCAGGCTTTGGGCAGAAATTCACCCTCGGTATGTCCTCCACTAAGACTGTTGAGGAAGGAATGCCTTTGACCCTACATGATGAAACTAATTAGATTTATTTTTATATAAAAGATTTCCCCCCAAGACCCTCCAGCTTTTCTCCTCAGCCCCCACCTCAGCCCTTTTCAAGCTGTGATTTCCAAGGATTGGTGGCGATTAGTGTTGCTGACGTGCTGAGACATCGCCTCGAGCAGCTTGATCTCATTCGTGGGTTGCTCAGACTGGAACTTGAGCATCCAGGGGTCCTTGAGGACATCCAGGATGGTGGCACGCTTGGCAGCTTGGCGTAGCATCTGGACGATCAGGTTCTAGGGCAGGGGAGAGAGAGGGCTTGACTGAGCGTGCCCCACTTTGGGCCAGACAGGCAGTGAGCCACTGGACCTAAGAAAGAAGCAGGACAGCCCATCACCCTACCCTGGAAAAACGGGGCTAGGGCCCTTGTTTTATGCTGGAGCCCTGCAAGAAAAGAAAGCGCTCCTTGCATCTCTTCTGCCCTATAGCGATCAACACTGAAACCTACTTATCAAGCGTATTTTTTTAAGATTTATTTATTATGTATACAACATACGCCTTGATGTATGCCCGCACGCCAGAGGAGGTTGCCAGAGCTCAGTACAGATGGTTGTGAGCCACCATGTGGTTGCTGGGAATTGAACTCAGGACCTCTAGAAGGGCAGCCAGTGCTCTTAACCTCTGAGCCCCCTTATCAAGCATATTTAAGGTTTGAAGTTCAGTGGTTGGCCCTCTTAAGTCCTCCCCACCATTTTTAGTAGGAACTAGAGATAGCTCTAGCATGAGAAAAGCGCCCCTCCCCTGCCACCCCAGGGTAGGGGGAGTTGGGAAGTCTAAACTTGGTATTTACTTCCCCTCCCCATGGACCATCCTTAAGGCCTCAGCCCTCCTGGGGGAGCCAGCACCTTGCACTCCTCGGATATGTTGATGTTAGATGGGAATGTGACCTCCTTCTGGGTCTCTCTCAGCAGCTTCTTGAGATTGGTGTCATCAAAGGGCAGATGTGCAACCACTAGAGTGTAGAGGATGACGCCCATGCTCCAGGTGTCGGACAGAAAAGGGTTGTAGGGCAAGCCCAGCAAGATCTCCGGGCAGGCATAAGCAAAGCTGCCGCAGTAGGTCTGGCTGAGGTTGGCAAGGCCGTTCATTTGGCGGTAAGAAGGGCTACTACGCACAGGCTGGCTAGAAGACACCATCTTGGCGAAGCCAAAGTCCGATATCTTCACATTCTCCCGCTTGTCCAGCAACAGGTTCTCCAACTTTAAGTCCCTACCAGCAGCAGAAAGGCTGGGGGTCAGGCTGGGGAGAGGGCTGAGTGTTAGACCGGGAGCTGAAAGGAAAGGGGCCAGAGACTAGAGATGAGGACAGGAGAAGTGGGAGAGGGATGTTTATGAGAAGTAAAGAGGGGCCAGGCAGTAGTGATGCACGCCTTTAATCCCAGCACTCGGGAGGCAGAGGCAGGCGGATCTCTGAGGTTGAGACCAGCCTGGTCTACAGAGTGAGTTCCAGGACAGCAACGGCTACACAGAGAAATCCCACCTCAAAAATAAATAAATAAATAAATAAATAAATAAATAAATAAATAAATAAATAAATAAAAAGGCTGCAGAGCCATGGAGTTGTGAACTGTGACAGAGCCCAAAAGGGAGAGAGGATGGTACCATGGTACCTGAGGACCACTAGTTCACCACTGTGTATAAAGTGTTCTCACACAGTGGATACAAGTGTCCTCGACCAGAGGATTACAATAGGGTGACCGTATGGACCTAGATATCGAGAGAAGTCAAGAGAAAAGGACAGAAAATCGGCAATATGCATAAAACCCTCTTGAGAGCCCAAGCCCAGGCCAGTGACTATGCTCACCGGTGCACGATGCCCTTGCTGTGCAGGTAAGCGATGCCCAAGGCCATCTGGGAGAACCACTTGCCAGCAAGGGTCTCAGAGCAAGCCCCATATCGTTGGATCCATTCGAGGACATCACCACCCTGAGCCAGCTCTAAAATGATGTATACTCGGGATGTGGTCTCAATGGCCTGATAGAAGTTGATGAGGTACTTGTGCCGTAGGACTTTCATTACCTGATCCCAAAAGAGGGAACCCGTCAAACCTGGCAAATCTGGCTGTGCTGGCCTTCCTCTACTCTCCCATTGGTACTTACAACTTTGCAACAGAATCAGCTGGTGTCCAGGTAAATTCCACTTTGCATTTTAACTTGGGGGGGGATGGATAGTGGGCTGATGTTTGTACATAAGGAAGAGCGTATGTATGTGTATATACGTTACAGGATTCCCCTACCTCAGACTTTCAGTTCCACCCCTTTTCTATAGTTACACCCCTAAGATACCTCAAGTAGCTTATGAATGAGCCCCAGTTCCCTCTTTCAGCTCCCTTTCTGACCTGTATCTCACGCGGTAGGAACTTGTTAAGATAGTCATCAGAGGCCTTCTTCTTTGAGATGATCTTGACAGCCACCATGACCTTCTGCTTTGTGTAGTAAGCCTCGTAGACTGTTCCATAGGAGCCATGGCCAATGACCTTGCCCACCTCATAACCATACTCTTCCATGATAGAGCGATAGGCTGGGGTAACTGATGTTGTTTCTGAGGTGTCTCCCTTCCCCATGATGCTAGACTTGCGCAAGTGGGGAGCTTTGCTACTGAGAAGCCACCTTGAGCCACCAAAGGGAGGGTACCCAAGTGAAGGTAGTCTCCTTAATGATAACCTAGTCACACAAGTCTGGGATCCTGGGCTTGGCCCTTCACTAAGAACTTGGAAGGGGAAAGAAAGGAACATTCTTTTTGTCTTGACTAGCTGTTGTTACTTCCATGTCTTAGTTACAGAACTTCCAAGGTCCCAAGTTCCAAACCCCTTTTATTCATCATTGGCCACAAAGCTTGAAATGAAGTGCAGTTTAGAACACATGCATTAGAAAGAGCATTTTACCCAGTCTGGTGAGTACCCCTGATATAGGAGGGTCATCTGTCTATGTGTTACTTTTATTGGTTAATAAATAGACCGCCTTGGCCTTTTGATAGCAGAAAATTAGGTGGGCGGAGTAAACAGGATGCTGGATAGAAGACAGTGAGGCAGTCGCGATGAAGCTCCGGCCCAAGATGGATGTAGGTTAGAATCTTCCTGGTAGGCCACCACCTTGTGGTGCTACACACATTAATAGAAATGGGTTAATTAAGATGTGAGAGTTAGCCAGTAAGAGGCTAGAGCTAATGGGTCAGGCAGTGTTTAAATGAATACAGTTTGTTTGTTGTTATTTTCGGGGCTAAGCTAGCCATGCAGGAGCCGGGCGGAATGAAAAGCAGGCCTGCTCGCCTCCTCTACATACCCCCTATTTTCCCTTATCTATCCTTTACTATCCACCAGGTGCTGGATAATAGGCAGAAGAAACCAGGGTAAACTAATGAACAAGGCCAGTAGAGTACCTACGCTTCTAGACTTTGCAGCCCAGCATGAGAAATGTGTGTATACAGGACTGCACGGTACTGACACATATTCTAAGATCCTGAACTGCAGTCCTGCTTTCCACACTCTGGAATATTCTTGTTTTCGTCCCATCCTTTCAGTCGCTCTTCCACTGGAGCTTCAGCATGTCCCACCTTTCAGTTTTGTTTTCAGTGCTGATTAGACCCAGGGCCTTTTGTATGCGAGGGGGTAGATAAGCTGGTTGCCCTCTAGCCCTCCTGGACCCATGCTGCTGGTGCCAGGTCTTCCTCACTACCCAGACGAGAGGCAGGGCCAGCTCAGCAAGGCCCTGGGATGGTAACATAGGCCTTGTTACATCAACATCAACACAGGCTGCAGCAGGGCCACGGACTCAGACATGGCTCTCAGCGGCAACACAGGCCCAGATGTCACCGTGGATATGGGAGTGCAGGCCTTTCATACATATCAGGCTGTTTCTCACGCCTCCGGCCTCCAGGTCTGCCCCTTTTCCTAGTGCCCAAGCCGCTGTGCCTCTCTCTCCCATCTCTCCACCTCATACTCATGGTAGTGGTGCTCAGCATCCACATGGTGGCTCACAACTGTCTGTAACCCAGTTCCAGATCCATTGTCTTTTGTTTGGATTTTTTTTTCTCTCTCTCTTTTTTTTCCCCAGAAAGGGTATCACTATGTATCCCAGGCTGGCTTTGAATTCTAAATTTCAGTTTCTGCCTCAGTGAGTACCTGAATGCAATGGGTTGAATCTATAGTCTCTCACATGCCAGGGAAATAAATGAAACTATGAGCTATATATCAGCATCTTTTCTCTTACTCTTTTTTGGCAGTTTCACTAAGTTCACCAGGCAGGCACCAAACTTGCAATAAGAGAATTGTCTTGGCCTTTGCAGCAGTGAGGATTCCAGGCCTGGCCTGTGCCACCAGGTCCAGTACCAGGCCAGTTTAGCACACATCCACACAATGCTCTAGGCAAAAAGAAATACTACTACATTTTCTTTCTCCTTCCTTCCTTCCTTCCTTTTTTTTTTTTTTTTTTTTTTTCCGAGACAGGGTTTCTCTGTGGTTTTGGAGCCTGTCCTTGAACTAGCTCTTGTTGACCAGGCTGGTCTCGAACTCACATAGATCCGCCTGCCTCTGCCTCCTGAGTGCTGGGATTAAAGGCGTGCGCCACCACCGCCCGGCCTTCTCCTTCCTTTCTTTTCTTCTGTCTTGCCTTCTTTCTTCCTTCCTTCCTTTTGTTCTTTCTTTCTCTCTCTTTCTGGCAACTTCCTGCTTTTCTTTCAGAACTTAGGATCTCTTGATTTTGAATGTCTCCCTTTAGTCTTGGCTGGACTCAATCCCATCATCTACTGATTTAGCCTCCAAAGTACTGGGATTATATGCACACACTACTGCAACAGGCCATGATTGTGTATCTTAATCACCTCCTACACAGAACAGTCGAGTGATGAACGAGGTTTGAGAAGATGGAGCTGAAGAATCCCTGGTCAGTAGAGTACTTACTGCACAGGTGTCAAGCCCTGGATTCGATTCCTAGCATCCATGTAAGTGGGGTGTTAACGTGCACTTGTGACCTCATGGCTAAGGAAACACAATCAGGGAAAACCCTGGAGCTCACTGGTCAGTTTCAGTGAGACAGCGTAGTTGACCTCTGACCTCCATACACCTGTACACATCCGTACATTCACGTCCAATGTCTGAGAACAACGGGTTGTAGAGAAGGGATAGAAGGTTTGGACAATGAGTAAATTGACAGGGCAGGTCTGAGAGCCTGACAGTTTACAGAAATATAGTGTTGAGATTCTTTTAGTATCTTGAACACTGATTTAATCCAAAGTTATAGTTTTGCTTGGCAGCTTCAATAAAATCATCAAGAACTCAGGGCTGGAGAGATGACTCAACAGCTAAGAGAACTAGCTGCTCTTCCAGAGGACCTGGGTTCAACTGGCAGCTCACAACTGGGGTACTCCAGTGCCAGGGGATCTGATGCCCTCACACCAATGCACATGAAATAAATTTAAATGATTTAAAACAAAGAATCAAGAACTTATGTCAGGGAGTGGAGGTGGACACCTTTAGCCCCAGCACTGGGGAGGCAGAGGTAGGCACAGCTCTGAGTTCAAGGCCTCTCTACAGAGTGAGTTCCAGGGCTATACAGAGAAACCCCATCTTGAAAAAAACAAAACAAAACAAAAAGAATTAAGAACTCAAGGTAGGGCTGGAGAGATGGGTTGGTGGCTTAGAGAACTGCCTGCTTGTAACTCCAGTCCCATAGAACCCATACTCTCCTGGCCTTGATGGATATCAGGCACACATAGTGCACAGACACAAAACATCCATATACATTAATAAAAGAAGGGGGGCTGGAGTTATCTTTCAGCAGTTAAGAGCACTCACCATTCTTCCAGAGAACCCGGGTTCAATTCCCAGCACCCACATGGCAGCTTATAACTGTCTGTAACTCCAAGATCTGACACCTCACACAGACATACATGCAGGCAAAACATCAATGCACATAAATAAATGCAATCCTTTAAAAAATAATAAAAGAATGAACTCAGGTAAGTGGTGACACACACCTTTAATCCTAGCACAGGATTTCTGTGAGTTCAAGGCCAGCCTGGTCCACCGAGCTAATTCCAGGACTGCCAAGGCTACACAGAAACTGTCTCAAATAACAAAAACAAACAAAAAGAATGTGCCTGAAATGATGGAATGTGGACTCTAAATTATATAAAGAAAGCCAGAAGCAAAACCAACGAGACTGGGAGATGGGTTACGAGTCTCAGCTGAAAGGACAAATTCAGGGGAATGACAGTGAGAGGGGCAGTGTCTCATGGCTTCTATTGCTGTACAGAACACCACAGCAGGGAACTCGGGGAAGGCTTTATTTCATTTTACAGCTTGTAGCTCATAATCCAGAGAACTCAGGGCAAAACTCAAGGGAGGAACCTAGAAGCAGAGACTGCTTTGGAGGCCATGGAGGTTTGCTCCCCATGGCTTGTTTAGCTTTTCTTCTAGCGCCCAGGACCATCAGCCCAGCACCCACAGTGCCAAGTGAGTGGGCCTTCCCACATCAAGAAAATGCACCATAGGTTTGCCCACAGGCCAATCTGGCAGGGGCATTCCCTCAGCTGTGGTTGTGTCGCTTATGTAAAACTGGCCAGCACAGGCAGGAGGGTGTGTTCAGAGTTCTCAGAAGATTCTGTGGGGTAGGCTTGGGAATGGCCTACAATCTGAGCACTCAGGAGGCAAAGGCAAGAGGACTGTAATTTTTTCTTTGTGTGCGCTGTGTGCTAAAGGTTCACATGCATGTGGCGGTCAGAGAAGGAAGGAAGTGGGTAACTTCTACCTTTGGATTATTTTTTATTGCTGTGATAAAACACCATGACCAAGTCAGGTTATAAAGCTTATTTGCATTTACAGTTCCAGGGGGTCATGACTTGAGCTGCAAGCAGGAACCCAGCAGCCTCCCAGCGCCCGCCCCCAGCGCCATTCTCCAACAGGGCTACACTTCCCCAACCTCCCCACTGCCACCAAGTGGGACAATGTGGGGCATTTAATTCACATCATCAGCTTTAGGCTTGAGACAGGGTCTATAGGTGACTTATCAAGTTCTACCCACTGGAAGTGTAACCCTGCTGGCTGAGCTACAAGGGAACCAATATCCTTTTCTGGCCTCCCTGGGCGTGCGCGCGTGTGTACGTACACACACACACACACACACACACAGAGTTTTTAAGGAAAACAAACAAATGAAGCACAGTGGTGCAGCCTTACAGTCCCTGCTGAGGCAAGGGCTTGCTGAAGGTCTGAAGCCAGAAGAGGTGGCAGCGATCCCATCTCCGACAAAACCGCCAATCAACCAAGCACAAAGCCTGAGGCTGGCACCGCGCCTATTTTGTAACACCACTTCAGAAAGTGAGGTCATCGATTCTTCAAGCTTGGAGATGGACCATTCTAGGGCCTTTAAGTCTTCATCCATAGCTGCTCTTAATTGGGAGTAGTACTGATCTCCCCTAACTAAAGCTGTAGACCCCAGTCCCAGATCTAACTAGATGATGGTGGCCAGTTCACTTTTTCGGTGTCTGGGGCATAGGTCAAACTCATCCTCAAAACTGGAAGCATTATGATAGTAAATTCGGGGACTAGTTGAATCAGCACACAGAAATCAGTGGCATCACTAAAGACAGAGATAGAGATACAAGGAGTCAGATCAACGTTGCAGGCCCACCATAGACCAATAGAGGAGGGTACCAGGTACCTGTTTCCTGTCGTCCTGGGACTAGGGAGAGTTTGGTTGCATAGATGCTGATATCAGGGGTTTGGGGTCCCCAGACATAGGCCTTGGGGAATTATAGGTCTCTTTAGGAGGTACGGGGTCAGGAGGTCCCAGGTCAGGTAGTACCTGATTGGGCCCCACTGGCTGGCCCGGGGGACTTTCTATTTTTAATTTTATTGTGAAGGTAGCACCCAAATTCTTTTTGATCATTCTATTTGGAAAATACCATCGGATGCCCCAAGTCCTTCCCTCTATTCATCCTGACGGCCCTCCCACTTGTCCCTGGGAAGTAATGGTAATATTTAAGGGTAAGCAAGTGGGGCTGGTGCTACAGGGTCCTGCACTCATACTGGAACACTGTTCTGGGGAATTGTAATTCTTGTGAACAGTGATCCAGTCCCGAGAAGAACTGGGTCTCCAGTAAGCATCTCCAGTGGTCTCACATCCCCAGGCACGGCAGTACAGGCTTTCTAAGCCTCCACAACGGCCAGCGGTACTCCGATCCCTGCCATCTTTGGGACAGATGTAGAAATCTAGTTTTCCTAAAAAGCATCTTGCCTCTGGACTCCCGCATCCAAATTTTCCCCCAGGAGAAAATCTTTTGCCAGCATCTATAGACAACTGTTGGGGCTGTGAGTCTGGGATATCCCAGGAGGCTAATCCAGCCGCTAATTGACAGAAATCAGGGGAGAGGGTAGGCCACCATGTACCTGGAGGAACTAGTTTGGAGGTGGCCCAAATGATTTCCCCAGTTTGTGAGGAAACCTGCCAAGTCAGTTTTTGGGGTACATGGGGGTTACTATAGGTGGGCAGGGGCATCTGGGTAAAGGCCAGCAAAACTGGCAGGATCAATCTGATCTGACAAGTCTTAGCTTTAGAGGATTTTGGGTGTGCTGAAGCTTCCATTGGGAGGGCCCTGGGTTGTCCTGCGGAGGTGCCGGCTTAACGCTAGACGCGTGGATCCAGGCTGCAATACCGTCCACCTTGAGGGCTGTGGGTGTCATAAGGAGCGCGGTGCAGGATCCCTTCCAGTAAGCTTGAAGGCTTTGGGACCGATGTCTCTGAACATACACTGAATCGCCAACCTGGTTACGGATGCGAGATCTCTGGGTGCCCCGGCAGGTAGGGGGCAGAGTCGGGGGGAGCAAAACGGACAAAAAGCCACTGTGATAGACTCAATCCCAGCTTCCTAGAATCTCACTGCCTCAGGACCACGGGTGGCGTGAGGGTAGGTAAGAGAAGGGCCGCTAGTGATTTTCTTCAGTACTTGCTTCCCCTGGTGCAGACAACTTTGCCAGCTTCCTCCCATTTTGCTCCCACACGCCAAGTGAGTCACAGCTCAGAGGGAATCCCCCAGGGCAGAGCCCCTTAACAATGGCACAGCCAGACAGAAGCAAACATTTTCAAAACAACCTGCAAGGTTAGGGAGAAGGCCAAACGCTCCACACAGACATACACTGAACAAAATGATGGAAGCTAGGTATGGCGGTGCGTATCTGGAAACTCGGAAGACCCCCGAGTTCGAGATCAGCCGGGACTCTTGCTTCAAAAAAACTAAGACACTATCTCCGGTTATAAACAACCCTGTCAGCCCAGCAATGGTGGAGCACGCCTTTAGTCCCAGCACTCGGGCGGCGGAGGCAGGCGGATCTCCGAGTTCGAGGCCAGAAGAGGCAGTTCCTGAACAAAGTTAGCTACACAAAGAAACCCTGTTTCGGGGGATAAAAAAAAAAAAAAAAAAAAAGAAAGAAAGAAAGAAAGAAAGAAAGAAAGAAAGAAAGAAAGAAAGAAAGAGTAAAACAAACCAGCTCTGTTTGGTTTGGAAAACTGCTCCTAGGCCCCACAAACTCCTCTGTACGGCCCGAAAGTCTCGGAAGGACACTTTCACCAAGGTGTTTGAGGACACGGGACGTGGAAACGCCGCGTAAAAACTCGCCCCGCCCAGGTAGGGGCACCCCTCGGCGTCAGGGCCAGCCTCAGCAGCCCGGGACGGCTCCAGCCTTCGGCCGCCCGCGCTCGCAGTCTCCGATCGTCTCTCTCCAGCCTAGGGCGGGCAGCCCGGTCCGCGCGAGCCCCCGTGGGAAGCCGCTCGCAACACGCGCGCGAGCATCACGGAGCTCTTAGCTCCGGAGACGAGCCTTCCCGGAGCTGAGGTCCCTGCCGGCGAGGGCGGAAGTGGTAAGGCTGACGTGGCCGGGCTGCGGTGCTGCTCGCCGGGAAGAACACTTGCATCGCCCGCAGACTCGGGGAGCGAGCTTGGGGGTCTCTGTAGCGGGGCCCGACCGCGGGCGAGCCAGAGCTGTTTGGGGAGCTTTTGGGCGAGCCGAGAGTGGACGGCGACGGCGTGCTCGCAGTCGCGGCGATCAGGCACAGAGGCGGACAACCCCGACGAGGTCCGTCGTCAGGTCCTCGGCAAGCCCACCGCTCCGGCGCCGCTATCTGGGAACCCGGGCAGAAGCCCAAGGGCAGCTACGGGGGCCTGCGAGGCCCTGGCGCCTCTTTGGCCAGCCGGTACCTCGCAGTGAGGAGCCCGAAGCTGCGGCCGGTGCCTCTGCCGGAGCAGCGAGCCCGCCGGGCGTTGCCATAGAAACGGGTTGGCGCGCGCAGCAGAAGCCCCTGGGTGGGGGAGGCCGAGGAGAGGCGTGAACCCCGGGTTGGGAGTACTGTCGAGCGCGCCCCGAGCCCCATCTTTGTGGGGTAGAAGTCGTGCGGTGCGGGGATCGGGAGGCCAATGGGAGGAAGTGGAGCCAATGGGCATTTGAGAGACCAGACCCGGGGCGTCACGATTTGATACCTAGTTTCTGTAACCACGGGATTCCCCCCAACAGGTTCTGCTGCCTTAAAGATGACAGTCCTAGGGCACCCTCGAAGTTGGAGCTGCCAGTGTTTGCCAGTCCTGATACTGTTGCTGGGCACAGGCCATGGGCCAGGGGTAGAAGGTGTGACACACTACAAGCCCGGCGACCCTGTCATTCTATATGTCAACAAAGTGGGACCCTACCATAACCCCCAGGAAACTTACCACTACTATCAGCTTCCAGTCTGCTGTCCTGAGAAGATCCGTCACAAAAGTCTTAGTTTGGGTGAAGTACTGGATGGGGACCGAATGGCCGAATCTTTGTACGAGATCCGCTTTCGGGAGAATGTGGAGAAGAGAATTCTGTGCCACCTGCAGCTCAGTTCTGCACAGGTCAGCTCTCCACAGTCGTTATCACTTAGCGCCCCCTCCACCCCGCCAGAGGCTAGCAGTGCCTTGCAGTGGTGGTGCTTTTATGGAAACTATCTGTCTGGACTCTACCCACAACCCAGTACTTGTTCAAGAACTGACTTTTCAGGATTACATGGGTACTGAGATGCAGAACTGACAAAATGTCCTACTTAAGACTCCTGTGTAATTCTCTCCTTTCATACATTCCTTTGGTTCTTTCTCAGCTCCTTTACTTTCTAACTTTCCCTGTTACTTTTTTTTCCCCTTAGCAAATCCTCGCACTTCTTAATCGATTCCAGTCTTTTTTTTACACTTTGTCCCACTTATTTTTTGAGACGTTATCCCATCAAAGTCATACTTGCTCTTTTTGGGGACCAGTATACCAGAATCAATCAATGAGTCTCAATGGGAGACAGTTTTGGTCCTTTAGGAACTTTGGCAATGTTAAGAGACATTTTGTTTGTTTGATTTGGGTTTTTTGTTTGTTGAGGTAAGGTCATACTCTGTAGCCCAGGCTGGCCTCAAACCCAAGGCGAACCTTTTAAGTGCTGGGCTAACAGGGATGTTTTATTCCATGCCTGGCTTTGGAGATGCTGATTGTCACGATTCAGCGGTACTGTTGGTGTGTAGTGAGTAGAGATGAGTAGAGATCAAGGATGCTGAATTCTGCAGTGCACAGCATCTCCCTACAGCACAGAATCATCCAGCCCAAACTATGAGTACTGCCAAGTTGAGAAACACAGTGTTAACCCTGAGAGGCTTTGTATACTGACCCCTGGCTTGTTCTCTATAGGTGGAGCAGCTGCGCCAGGCCATTGAGGAATTGTATTACTTTGAATTTGTGGTAGATGACTTGCCAATCCGTGGTTTTGTGGGCTACATGGAAGAGAGCGGCTTCCTGCCACATAGCCACAAGATAGGTCTCTGGACACATTTGGACTTCCACCTAGAATTCCATGGAGATCGAATCATATTTGCCAATGTTTCAGTTCGGGATGTCAAGCCCCACAGCTTGGATGGTTTACGATCTGATGAATTCCTAGGCCTTACTCACACTTACAGTGTGCACTGGTCTGAGACTTCAGTGGAGCGTCGGAGTGATAGGCGCCGTGGTGATGATGGTGGTTTCTTTCCTCGAACGCTGGAAATCCACTGGTTGTCCATCATCAACTCCATGGTGCTTGTGTTTTTACTGGTGGGTTTCGTGGCTGTCATTCTAATGCGTGTGCTCCGAAATGACCTGGCTCGGTACAACCTAGATGAAGAGACCAGCTCTGGAGGCTCTAGTGATGACTTTGACCAGGGCGACAATGGTTGGAAGATTATCCACACAGATGTCTTCCGCTTCCCTCCGTACCGCGGGCTGCTCTGTGCTGTGCTTGGTGTGGGCGCCCAGTTCCTGGCTCTTGGCACTGGTGAGGTGATATGAATTGCTCTCAAAGAGTAGCAGATAGGTTATTATAAAAGTTCAGTGGATCTTCTCTTCAAGATGAGAAAAAAACCGAGAGGAGATCGTAGCTCTAGTGAGGCTGTATATGGGTTTTCCTGACAGTAGAACTAGGGAAATGTAATCAAATGAGGCCCTTTATCTGGGTTAAGGGGATTATTTCTCTGACGTGGAGAAGAGATGTAGGTGAGACCTAACGAATTCTCCACTGCTACCCTGTAGGCATCATTGTCATGGCGTTGCTGGGCATGTTCAATGTGCACCGTCATGGAGCCATTAACTCGGCAGCCATCTTGTTGTATGCCCTGACCTGCTGCATCTCTGGCTATGTGTCCAGCCACTTCTACCGGCAGATCGGAGGCGAGCGCTGGGTGTGGAACATCATTCTTACGACCAGCCTTTTCTCTGGTGAGAACGTCCCCTTTCATGGTGGGTCTGTCTAGATTTAGGGAGTAAGAAAGAGCTTTTTTTTTTATGGGATGGCCTTGCTGGGAACTGTCAGGGGTAGAGAGAGAAGGAGGGAGGAAGGCAAAGAGTGCTGTGCTCAATGCCCTGCATACACTAGAGTGGATTTACACATAAACAGAGTAAAGAGTAAAGACTTGTTCCCACTTAGCACCCAGAGCAATAACAGATCTAGACTTTCAAAAAAAAAAAAAAAAGATTTATTTAATTATTATGTATACAGTGTTCTGTCTGCATGTATGCCTGCAGCCAGAAGAGGGCACCAGATCTCATTAGGGATGGCTGTGAGCCACCATGTAGATGCAGGAAACTGAACTCAGGACCTCTAGGAAGAGCAGCCAGTGCTCTTTACTGCTGAGCCATCTTTCCAGCCCATAGGGAGGACTTTTTTATTTTTTTTAATTTTTTTTATTTTTATTTTTTTTTTTTTTTTTTTTTTTTTTTTTTTTTTTTTTTTTTTTTTTTTTTTGGTTTTTCAAGACAGGGTTTCTCTGTGGCTTTGGAGCCAGTCCTGGAACTAGCTCTGTAGACCAGGCTGGTCTCGAACTCACAGAGATCCACCTGCCTCTGCCTCCCGAGTGCTGGGATTAAAGGCATGCGCCACCATCGCCCACCTAGGGAGGACTTTTAAAAATATTTGTTTGTGTGTATGAGTGTTTTGCCTGCATGTATGCATGTGCAACATAGTCATGGAGGCCACAAGGGTGTCTGATCCCCTGGAACTGGAGTGACAGAAGGTTGTGAGCTACCATGTGGGTGCTGGGAATCAAACCCAAGTCCTCTAGGAGCAGGAAGTGCTATTAACCATAAAGCAGTCTCTCTAGCAACTGGGTGGGACAATAATTTCATGAGAAAAATCTATCAAAAAGAATCTCTTAGGTGTCGTGGTGCACGCCTTTAATCTTATCACTCAGAGGCCGAAGCAGGCGGATCTCTGACTTCAAGTACAGCCTGGTCTACAGAACCAGTTCCAAGACAGTCAGCGCTGAATAGACTTGTCTAAAATAACAATAAAAAAACCAAAAACCAACAAAACAGCATGAGGAACTATGCCTAGCTTTTGTTCATGTGGGGATCTGGGGACTGAACCTAGGCCTTCATGAACAGCACTTTACCAACTGAACCATCAGTTTCTCAGACATTATGCTTAAATAATGTGGTGTGTCTACTTGTATGGGTGCTGGGAACTCGTGTGCATGGGGAAGGCAGATGTCAACATCAGGTATCCTTCTCAGGAGCTCACCTTGTTTTTGGAGCCAGGGTTTGACTGAAGTTGGAGCTCACTGAATTAGCTGGTGTGGATGATCATCGAGCCCTAAGCATCCTCCTGTCTTTGCCTCCCTTGTACAGTATTCAAGAGCCCTGGCTACTCCATCTGACTTGATTTTGTTTGTTTTAAATATGGATGCTGGAGATCCAACTTGGGTCCTCATGCTTTGGGGGAAAGGGCTTTACCAATTGAACCATTTCTTCAACCCCCTTAAATAGCATCCTTAAATTTATTTTTTGATACTGTTTTTATTTCAGAGGTAGGTTCATTATAGCCTTCAAACCAGATTGCTGACCCCCAGTTGGTGTTTCTCAGTGTAACAGTCCTGACTGTCCTGGAACTTGCTTTGTAGACCAGGCTAGCCTCTGCCTTTGAGTGCTGGGAGTAAAGGTGTGTGCCGCCACCGCCCTGCTCAGATCGCCTTTCCAGAGACAGTAGTAGTCTACCTTCTAAACCTTGCTGCTTCCAATTTGGTGTCTTTGATTTATACCCCATCATATTTGTATTTTAAGCATGG